GTCTATTGTGTAAAAGGGATTAAATCGAAAAACGGGAGGAGTTCAACCAAGACGCGCTGGGCGGCTCTTATACTTGCGCGCGGCACAGTTATAAACGTGTCCGTAGCGCCATTAATATTTCGAAATAGGCTCTAAAACTTTAGGATTACATTCTCCATATAACAAGGATTCGATTTAAGTGAAAAAAAAATCGATTTTTCCGACCAGTTACAAGGGAATTCTCCCCTTAACTGGAAGTTATGGAACTGGGCCTAAGATATCTTACAATTTTAGACATTGTGTTATATGGGCGATATATTCAGAACATTTTGTTTATGCACGATGGAGTATCATCACATTTTAGTCGCCAAGTGAGAAATGTGTTCAATAATAATAATCCAGATAGATGGATTGACAGAAAAGGATCAGTCGTATGGCCTTCACGCTGCCCAGATCTGAATCTGTTAGAGTTTCATCCACAAGGATATTTAAAGTATTTAGTATATTCGCATTGATAACGAAGAGATTTCACAAACGCATTATTAGTGCTTGTGAGACTATATGGAATCGTCCGCGAATCTTTGAAATGTTTTAACAACCCTTACTCCATCGTATCAATGTTGGTCTTCAATGAAATGGCAACCATATCGAGTATTTGTTATAATTTAAATGTTTATTTATGATTATTTAATAGCAACGCGTTAACATAAACGTTGTTTTACTATAACTTCGTCACCACTTATATTACAATTTTGAGTTTATATAAACTTTTTTCTCTATTTTGACGAGAGGAATACGTCCTAGAAGTTTGTCAAAATATTTCGTAAACATCGTGTACACATATCTAAATATTTATATATTTCTTTCTATTATCTATACATCTTTATTAGATCAATTGACAAATAACAAATAAAGTATTAATAAGAAAAATAGAAAAATTATATGTTTTGTATTTATAATATCGTATATATATATATATATTTGCAACTCGATTTACATTTATTTTACAACAATTTCGTAGAACATTATTAAGGATTTTGTTATTTTGAAATAATAAGATTAAATTAAGTTAACAATATGTACATTTGATTCGCGAAAGGGCAAAGTCTAGGAGACGTTCAACGCAAAGGGTTAAACTTATCCAGCAAACATAAAGTAATAGTAACATAACCGTTAGGTATAATATTTTACTCAACAATGTAACTGTTATATAACACATGCGTTATATTGTATTTACATTGTTGACTGAAAAATTATAATTAACAGTTATGTAATTGTTATTTGGTGTTTGCTGGGTAGTTGATCTCCATAAAACTATTTTCTTCTACAGAAACTTCTTTCAATTTTAACTGCGCATTAAGATTCCTGGATCCGCCACGAAACTTTCGACTCACGTCAGAAGCGAGAAAATATACGATACAAATTTTTGCAAAATACGTTGAAATAAAAAGATATACTCATAAAATGACACTTGCAATCGACCAGATAGATCTGTACAATAGTTCAAACACTTTCCTTTTGCTCTAACAATCAATAAATGACTATAAAATTAACATAATATAATATAAAACATAATATAAAATCATGAAAAAAGATAGATTTATATTTAACGTGTTGCATGCCATGGACTTTCCTTTATGATGGTTCAAGAATTAATTAATTAGTAATTATTGATTAAAATTCCCATCCAGTAAACACAGAATATAACCATTATATAATATAGATAAGTAATACAACTGTTCCTATACGTTATTAATATTGAGATTATTTAATTTTGTTTTATAATTGCAATATAACTGTGTTTTAAAATTGTTATATTGGTGTTATTTACTGATTATAATAGTAAAAAAACATCATAATTTAAATACGTTATATAACAGATGTAGTTTTCACATATATATGTCACATATATATGTATACATTACATTTATGTTATGTAACATCTTTATATGCAGATGTCAAATAGTCCTAAAATGTCTGTTTCTCGTACGTAAAATATGATATATTAAAGCATATAATCTAGCAAATACAGATTATAACTGCTATATAATATAAAACATACTGTTATTATACATATGCTATATAAAATCATAAAAAAAACGTTCCATATCACAAAAATTCGTTTTTTCTTAATAGTTCATAAATAGTTATAAAATTAATGTGACAACTTTTCTCTCTAACGATTTCTCATAATTTTGTCACGTTACTTTCACTGTTATTCATTTGCTGTCAAAAAAAAGATAGTTTCCGAAATATTTTATAAGTCATGAAAAACGATCAGCTAGAAACGGACACGGGTGGTCAAAACTTTCTAGTGATTATTGATCTGGTGAATGATATAGCATCAATGCAACTGAGTGTACAACATCAATGCAACTGAGTGTACATACATATAGAATCAGTAGAGTATATAGTCGAAAAAAGATTGACAGTTTGGGTCTAAAATATTTGCAATTAAAGTTGTTACCTTTTATATTCGTTTCTTAAGATTAGGGTCCTATATATACCCAGCAAATCAGCATTGTATTTATATACTAGTAGTATAACATAAATATATAATGTCAGCACAACCATGTGGTTTGTTATGTAATTGTTACATGTTACATAACATATACATAACATGCAGTGGTGTAGTCTCAGGGGGCTGAGGGGGCTGCAGTCCCTCCGAAATTAATTTTCTGGGTTACACTAAGTGTGAGAAAAATTTTCTCGAATGACCTTTTTTTGCTCGTCAAAAATAAAAAATACAGGCTCCCCGAAACTTTTTTTTGGCTACGCCACTTATAACATGTAATAGTTACATGAAATACTATATGGTTGAGCTGACATTCAATCATCAATTTATGTTACTACTGTGCTATTAGATTAATATACACAGATGTCAATCGATCGCGGATAAATGTTGACATAATTTTTAACTATTTGTCCATATAATCACATTTCTATGATAAATTTGACATTTTTATGATACTTAACGTGTTGCATGCCATGGACTTTCCTTTATGATGATTCAAGAATTAATTAATTAGTAATTATTGATTAAAATTCCCATCCAGCAAACATAGAATATAACCATTATATAATATAGATAAGTAATACAACTGTTCCTATACGTTATTAATATTGAGATTATTTAATTTTGTTTTATAATTGCAATATAACTGTGTTTTAAAATTGTTATATTGGTGTTATTTACTGGTTATAATAGTAAAAAAACATCATAATTTAAATACGTTATATAACAGATGTAGTCTTCACATATATATGTCACATATATATGTACGAGGGTGGTCTGAAAAGTTTCCGACCTAACAAAGATACAAGTCATTTTTTCTGAAAATTGTTTTTTATTTTTCAACATAGTCTCCTTGTAAATCTACACACTTCTCCCAGCGATGCTCCCATCTCTGTAACCCGTCGAAATAGTACTCGGCGTTTTTCTCTGCAAAATAATTGTTCACGAAGGTGATTGCCTCTTCATTTGACGAAAATCTCTGTCCTCCGAGCGCAATTTTTAGATGAGGGAACAAAAAGAAGTCGCTTGGGGCTAGATCTGGTGAGTAAGGTGGATGGTCAAGCAGTTCAAACCGTAATTCGTGG